TCTGTTACTGGCGCACCACGCAGTTCTTTTTCAGAGCAATGACTCGTTTTGAGATTGTGATCAAACTTTAAATTTATCGAAGCCTCTTGCATCTCTGTGATTCACCGCAAGTCAGGGGGTGTTCAGCACACGTCTGAACAGATGTGAGCTTTGTTGTTGAGGGTCTTAACATGGTGGGCCAGTCCTGCCCATCAACTTACTACCAACATCAGAGGAAGTGTTTTGGGAGAAAAACTTGTATATATGCGACGGTAAACATCTCTAGTTCCACCGAACAGTTGTGTCTCTTATTTCAGTTATGGGCCGCCCAGTTTGTCCTCCATTTTACCAGCCTGTTGTTGTGCTGGAGGTTGTCTCTCCTAGAGCAGCAGAGGGCATATTGATGTCACCTACCCCGTTGTTGGGGCCCTAAGCCTTCAATTATTTTTTTAATTTTTTTTTTTTTTTAACCAAAACAACAGAGCATCTGCTGCCAACTACTCCACATTCCTGGTTTTCATGGATGCCAAGCCAGGCCCCTATATGATCCACACTGCCACAGGGTCATAGGTCAGGCAATAGGAAGTGTAGTTTCTCGCTGCTCTGTGGTGTCACACAAATTATGTTGTCATAGTGGTGGCAGCCTTTTTATTGTGGTCATTTGTGTTTAGGTCACACAGCAGATAAATCATGTCTGCTGTATTTATCTTTGAGCCTTTTTTTGCCCCGGGCATGAAAGCTCTAACATGCAACTCTTGCGGGTTGCAAGACCGAGTTTGTTGGCTTTGTTTTATTGTGCTTTTTTTTTTTAAATGCCACAAACATAAAGGATGTGGACACGTTCAGGAAACTGGTGCAGCACTTCATCTTCTCTAAACCGACATATACTTGCAGTTTACATGGCGCTCTGACTCAGCCTTGCTAATACTCAAATGTTTCTCGGTTGTTTGAGACTGAGAACTCCAATGGGGCTTTCACACTCCCTTCAACAGGGACTGCGTGTGAAATTGAAAATGATTTTGGGGAAATTACCTCAAAAGGGTCACCGGTGTAGTGTTACTGCTCTCCAGGGGTACCTTTTTGGCCTTACTGTTTCCTAATGCCTCCCATGATTCTGTTGCAGCAAGCAGAATTATGGGAATTACGTGCTGGCTGGGAGCTAACAGAGCGTGGACAGTATGGCGTTTTAGACATGGGTAGGTTTGTTGGTGCATGGAGCGGCATGCGAAAACACCACGATACGACAGTTTACACATGGGGAGGGGGAGATGAGGGGGGCATGCAGTCAGTCATGCTGAGGGGGATCTGAAAGACAAGGAAACCATGAAATGTGAACATAGGAGAGGCATGTTTGAAGTTACCCCTACCCCACCCCACTCACATCACCACAACCACCACCACCACCACCATCTCCACTCAACCACTCCCCGACCCATACCAACTTCCCTTACCTCCTCCCTCCTTCCCTCCCTCCTTCCCTCTATCCCATCTGGCTGGCTCCATCACGCTCTCTTGGCCGGGGGGTTGTGGAGAGTTCAGTAGCTGTTCTTCCTAACGATGCCGCCCCCCCCCTTGCCTCCCACCCACCCACCCACCCACACACACCCTCATGCGTACACATACACTCCCTCTTCACAGACCAACTGCTGCTCCGATACTTGGGCCCCTCTGGCTGCCCCTCACTGGGGAGAAAGCCCAACTGACACCTTCCTCTTCCCACATGCTCCTCGCCACTGGCTCACCGGCTGGAACACCGAGGCCCCCCACATTCTGCCTCGCGGGCACTCCCCTTAATTCCTCAAACACACACACAAACACACATAATGACGGCACATCACTTCTAAAGATATAGTTAAAAGATAATTCTGGTTTATTACAACTTGGTTTCTTATTTTGGTAGTTTTGGCCCCCGTTCCTATCAGTAATAATAACTTTGCACTCAGCAACCTAATTGCTGAGATCTGTGACTACAGTGACACTGCTAAAATAGAAGTGCAAAATAGAAATACACAAATTACAGATCAACTTCCTGGTTCTGCTTTGACCTGCAGTGTACTCTGTCAGGTTACTGTAGCTTTGTGCACACGCAGGTTTCATGTGCAGTTAGGGATTACTGCCAAGGGGACTTGCTGATGAAATGTAGCTAATCCATTGCCTCTGATAAATAAACAAATAAAATCATTTTCATCTCAAAGTAGAGTGATTTAGATCATTTCTACTCAGGAACTACTTTGGTGTGTTTTGTGGCCAAAAATATGAAAATACAACCCAACTTGTATTCAAACAGAATTGTCCTTTAATAGTGAGAGTAGTGGGGAAGCAGAGATGACTTGAGTTTAGCTAAACTCTATTAAAGACATTTTAATGAGGCTTCAGTACAAATAGCTGTTTATATTTATATTAAAATGTTAAATTAAATGGCACTAAAACAGTATTAAAAATGCAATTTGCTATGATCAGTCTTCTAACCCTCAATTACAAGAGCTATTGGACCAAATAGCTTTAAACTGTTTATTTTATAACTAAATTAAGTTTCAGTTTGCATGTAGTTTCTCTCTGAAGTGCATAATATCACGATACTTGTGGGCTAGATTTTTTCTTAGAGATTTTCTTAGGGATGGAAAACAAAACATTGAATCCTAAAGCTTATTTGTCTGTCAGCACAAGTACCAGTTTCAGTGTGGAATAAACAGATTGCTCAACGGCTGGTTCAAGGCCCTGAGCTGGCGCACCAGCCTAACTCTTCTGCCGTCCTGCCTTATGTTATGCAAGGCCACTTTAGCAGTGATGTTCCCAGTGACTGTTTAAATTCAGTGGATTACTAACTAATGGTTTCCAAGGTCATAAAGTCATCTATGTTTTTCAGATGCTAGTGGCAAAGTATCTCAGAGTCAAATAGTAAAACTTCTGCCGTTTTATATTGGTCCCAAAATTCAAGCAGAGAATATGCTCGGATTATTGAGCCAAACAGCACTTAAAATATTAGTTAGTTAATTGGTTTTAAGAGAGCGAGACTAATCTGCCAGTTTATGCTATTTCTAATGATTTAACATGAAAGAATGGAAAAAGGAAATTCCCAGAATCAAGAGCCAACAGTGTTTACTTTTGCCTCACATTTGTCATTTGATATGGAATACAAATTGAATCAGTGCGTGGCAAAATGTATGCCTCTGTTCCCTCCGCCTGCCAGTGAAGAGCGACTGTCTGTTACATGAAAGCCACTGCGTTTGGTATAATGTATTTTTTGTTTACGTGAATCTAGTTAGTAATTTGTCCTGCACCAGCTGAGTACCTGTTCGTGCGATGCGGTTTTGTATTGCCACAAGCGTAAATAGATGAGCACTTCATAAGCTGACCAACATGTTTGTTTGTGCAGAACATCCTGTTGCAGAGAGGTGTGGGAACAGGGTTGCTGTTTATTTTGATTTTGCTTTAGGGTCCTTACCACATTCATGGTCACATTTGTTTGTGTGCCTGTGAATGGTACAGAAAGATGTACGTGTCTTCATGTGTGTATTCACTCATCTGCACAAATAAAAACAAAACGATAAAAGTGTCTTTCTGCATGTCCTATGCATTTGTGCACATATCCCTGTGTGTCTGAGTAAATCTAGTACATTTAAAGCCTGTTAGAAGCTGCCTGTCACAGTCAGACAGCGTGTCGTGCAGGCTCTGGTTGTGCAGCGTCTGTGTGCGTCACAGGGAGATAAGCGAGGGGGCGTCATACGCATTTTCCTGTCCGCGGCGCAAGCATCAGATGAGATGGTGAAATTTTTAGCCTTAGCACTGTCTCTCAGTGTGTGCGCCCACTTGTAGCAGACTGACGCTTGCCATAAGGGATTTCCTGCACAACATTTATCGCTCAGCAAATGTGAGCGACAATGACGGCCTGTTTCAATACAGAGCAACGAAAGATGGCAAGTCTGGCGAGACCGGATTGTCCTTGTTTTTAGACACAGATCATCTTTAATAGACATGAACTGGTTTGTTGTCCTTGTACAACAAATGCATGCGCCACTGCTTGCCCTAAGAACGTCATTAATTGCCACTTCTGTTTTCCTTTTGTTGACTGTACTTTATTCCACCTGTGCCCTCAGTCTCAGTGCGGTGTTGCACTCAGATTCACCTTTTGATTTTGAATGTCATTTACAAGTAGGCCCATCCATGTTGAACTACTTTGTTTATGGCTGTCTTTCCTGCCTGCGGGCATGTATGAATGTATGTTCAGTGTTATGTACACATGCATGTTTGTTTGTGTGAGTGTATGTGCATGATTTTTTGTTTGTCTGTGTGCTGGTTGTTTTTTGTGTGTTAGTGTTTGCCCGGGCTCCTGTCTGTCTGACAGTGCAGTGTGTCTGACTGTTCCTGTTTCAAACCCACCGTCCCTCCTCCTCTCTCCGTCTCTCTCTGTCTCATGCTCTCTCACTAACCCTCACTCTCTCTCTCTCTCTCTCTCTCTCTCTCTCTCTCCTTTTTTCTATCACCCTTTCACTCTCTTCATCCTCACCCTCTCTCTCTCTCTCTCTCTCTCTCTCTCCCTTTCTCTCCCTCTCTCTCCCTCCTCTTCCCTCTGCAATAACAGTGCTGACCTAGTTTCTGCCTGTTCAGGGCTGCCTGTGGAATTTTACAGCGGCCTGCCTTCCTGGCTGCTTTGCTGCTTGAAAACGCAGGCAGAAAAGCATGACTGAGGATTTTTCTTCTCATCTCATCATTATGGCCTTATACTGTCTTCGTTCTTCTCCCCCTTCTGCAGACCTAAACAAATGGACCCATTTTAAATAAGTAGCAACAGAAAATTGCCTCTCACATATGAATCTTATATATGGAGAAATTGCAGGAGGACTGCATCCGCCACCACCGCGAATTAGAATGGAAATGAGAATAGCCTGTCGCTCATCTCCTACAGCTTAGCTGAGATTGTACCGGATGCAGAGGGCGGAAAAACACCCCTTCTCTGTGCACATGCATGCAATCTCCCTCCCTTCTCCTCTTCCCCTCTTTCCTTCCCTCCCGCCTTTGCCTTCACAAATAAATGGTTAGAGTCATGCCCGGCAAATACTAGCCACTGCCAGGAATGGCTAACCAGGCTCTTGCTCAAATAGCAAGAGAGTGGGACTATTTTTACGTACGTTAGAGTTAGGGCCATGGATCTAATTCAACACTGTTCTGAATCTTGATTAAATCTGAACGCCTTCCAATTAGGCATAGGGAATGTTGTGTCACAGTCGAGAGAGATGGATCTCTGGAATGCCTTTCTGAAGGCTTGGTTGTGGCACGCTGAAATCTAAACCAGCACTGCCGCAGATTCATTCCTTCCCCCTACCCTCTCCCTCCTTTCACTCACCATTCCTGGCTGAGCTGTTGGAGTTCAGCATTGCTGGGGCATTTAGTTTTCTTTTCCGTTTCTCAAAAGCTCCACAAGCGTCATGGCTGCTACTGCAAAAGCTTTGGGTGCAATGTTAATTCTTTGCTTCATGTTGATGTATATTTGCATGTTATGCATTAATCTTGGGATGTATATAATGCTAATGGGTTCTTTATGGTTTCTCTTCCAGATTTCGGGGGCTGGTCATGGTGTCCGGTGAGAAGGTGTGGGACCCCCTCCATGCGGGCCTTATTCAGTCACGTCTGAGTGAGCAACACCTGGCTGCTGGGCTAACTCCCCTCTGCAACCTCACACATAGTGCAACTAAGGACACCACGTGCTACCAGAGTCAGCGGTCGTCACCTTTGTCTTCCCTGCCACTGTCATTAGTGGCTGTAGACAACCTTCACCCGGTTCAGGACTCCTCACAGTTACATCCGCCTGTCGCTTTCTGCAGCTCTAGCAAGATCAAAGGGCTACACAAACCAGTCCACTGTCTTGGAGTGGTCTCTCAGCCTGAAGAAGAGGAGGAGGAAGGGGAAGCTGAGCAGTTGGAGATGAAGGGTAAAAGGCATGGAGGCCGGGGAGAGGCCGTGATGGAGGACAGGCTAGAGGACATGGCTGATGGACCTAAGAATGCAAAAATTACCCTAAGCTTCCCACTTAGTGCCGCCCCCCTTCCAGCCTCCCTGACATCTCCAAACCACTGTCGTAGCTCCTCGTCATCCTCCCCTTCCCCTCACCGACAGCGGCCATCCTCCAAGAGTTCAGACGAGGGGTCGCTGTGGAAACTGGATGCTACCATGGACGTAAAGCACAGACCTTTTAAGCCCCCGAGGCACGACAGCTCTCCGTCCTCTTCACCGTCCTCCTCCTCATCTCCCATGACTGTTCATGCACTTATCAGGAGGGATATAAAATCCCCGCCTCCTCTGAAGTGCTCTAAACTCAATCCAGAGACTCAGTTTCACAGGTCGCCCCCACGATCCTCCAGTGGGTCATTAGGGGGCTGTTATGGTGGCGATGGATGGGATGAGAGGCACAGGTTGGCCAACGGTACAGCCTCACCTTCTCAAACTGCCCAGATCCTCTTCAGCCTGGGCACGTCAGCCTATCAGAGAGGCGGGGATGCGGAGAGGAGAGAGAAAATAACAGGAAGACCAGCTGGGAAGGTGGGAAGCCCTCATGGACCAAGTCTTCACCCACCCACCCTCCACCTCCCTCCCCCCCTCCCACCACCCCCTCCTCCCCCATCTGAGGGTCTCACCGCACCCCCTCACTCGTCCTCCTACTCCCCTACCGACAGCCTGAAGCCCGAGCTGATTTGCGGAGTATGCCATCGACTTTTCAGCTCGGCCTCCTCCCTGACAGTCCACATGCGGCTGCATCGTGGCAGCCGCGCCCTCAGTTGCCGTTACTGTGGCAAAGTCTTCATCCACAGCAAGAGACTGCAATCCCATGAGGCCTCCTGCAGGGTGCCAAGCCTACCCTCCAACAGCCTGGGCCCTCCTTCTCTCACTGTGCAGCCAAAGGAGGAGCCACTGGAGGAGGGTGAGGTGAGAGTGGAGGGGGGAGTGATTGTGGGAGAAACAGACATCAGTAAGGCGCGGCCAGGGAAGAAAGCGCGGAGCCTCCTGGCACGTATCCAAGGTGATGATGCAGCAGCCACAGAGCTACTAGAGGGTGATGAACACCATTTTGTGAAGGTGGTAGATGGCAATGTCATTTACTTCTGCTCTGTGTGTGAGCGCTCCTACATGACTCTATCCAGCCTGAAGCGTCACTCTAATGTACACTCATGGCGCCGCAGATATCCGTGCCATTTTTGTGACAAGGTCTTTGCCCTGGCTGAGTACCGCACAAAGCATGAGGTGTGGCACACAGGTGAGCGGCGCTACCAGTGCATCTTCTGCTGGGATGCCTTCGCTACCTACTACAACCTGAAAACACACCAGAAGGCCATCCACGGGATTAATCCCAGCCTCATCTCCAGTGAAAAGACAGCTAACGGTGGTTATAAACAGAAAGCTAATGCCCTCAAGCTTTACCGCCTTCTCCCCATGCGCTCCCAGAAGAGACCCTACAAGACCTACAGTGATAGTTTGCATAATGGCCTGTTACTGCCATCAACTGAAACACCTTCCCTCTCCCTGCCCGGCCTGGGCTGTACTCTGGGCCCTGAGGACCTACAAAGCCTAATCAGTGGGGCCCACCCTCAGAGTGTAAAGCCTGACCCAGATGCCTTCCCCGATGGCTTCCCTGTGTCCGTGCCTGCTGAGCACAGGGACATCTCCGGACTAACAACCCTCCCCCAGACAGACATGCCCCAAGTTAGAAAACATGACAGTGAGGCCCTGGAGTTAGAGCAGGGAAGAGGCAGTGGCAGTTTCAAAACGTCTAGTAGCAGCAAAACCAAAACTCCCAAGGCTGGTAGAGGTACAGAAACAAGCATGCCTTCTGTGATAACATATGGCCATACAAAACCCTCTGTCATAGTTCATGGAACAGCAGTGTCATCCTCTGTCATTGTGCATAGCAACCAGGTCACCTCTGGAAGTGAAAAAAGCCCAATGAACAGCCCATCTCCTGAAACCAGCAGCAGTCAGACTTCACACAAGGGCAGTCCCAGGCCAATCAAAAAACAAAGAGATAGCGCAGATAGCCATAGAAAGAGGTCAAGAGACAGTTCAGATACCACAGAGGAGCGCTCAAGAGGTAGACAGGATGCAGAGACAGGCAGATTGTTTCACAAATCGCGCAAGTCCCACAGCAAAAGTGACATCTCTAACTCGAAGCAGCTGTCAGCATCTGTAGGGTCACAGGTCAAAGAAGCAGGGCCACTGTGCCAGATAACTGTACGTATCGGTGAAGAAGCAATAGTGAAGCGCAGCATCTCTGAAACAGACCTCAGGAGAGATAAGAGCCTTTCTCCCCCAAAAATCAAACGTAGTGAAACATCCTCTGTGCGGGAAGCCAAGGAACAACGGCACTCTCATTCCCACCACCATCACCATAAACACCGCCTCCACCGCAGGGCCAGCCTGGAAGCAGAGGGGGATAAGGAAGGAGATGATTGTGAAGAGGAGGAGGAGGAGGAGGATGTCAGGAAAAAGACATCCAAATCCCCTGATGAAGTGAGGGAGTACTACTTCCGTCAGGAGGTGCGTGAGCAGGACAGCGACCATGACACAGAGGATAATTTATGGCGGCCTTACTACTCCTACAAGCCTAAGAGAAAGGCCCAAGCACACCTACAGAGGGTCAAGAGCTGGCAGAGAAAACTGAAGTTCAAGCGCTCCATCCGGCTGAAGAGGAGGGCCGAGAGACTCAAGAACCACGTGAATAAAGAAACAGATAAATCACAAGATGAGGAAGAGGATGGGAAGATTGAGGAAGCCGAAAAAACGTCAAAAGCTAACAGAGACAAGGGAGAGAGGAAAAAGAAGGAAAGGAATTATTTCTCTGCCCCTTTAAAGGAGAAAAACAAAGATGCAGAAGAACAAGTTAAGGAGGCCTGTCACAAGGTTTCCACTCCTCCTCCTCTGCACTCTCCAAAGCCCCCTGTGTCTACCTCAGTGGCTCCTACAGGAATAAAGAGGCGGCCTTGGACTAATGGGAATGCAGCAGAGTGTGGTACATGTGGCCGCTGGTTCTCAAGCCCCAGGAAGCGAGACAAACACGAGCTGAGCCATCTGCTGGAGTTTGTATGCCTCTTCTGCCGAGCCACTTTCCCCTCAAGGGATAAGTTGGAAGATCACCAGAGAGCCCAGCATCCCAAGCCTGCTGAGGCACCCTCCGTACCCCCTAAAGTGACACTTGGTGAACAAGTTGAAGGAGTCGGGGTTAAATCCGTGCCAGAGATCGCCAAGTATGATGAAGAAAAAGGGGGGCAAGTAGGCTTAGCGGGGAGTAATTCTAGTCCGAGTCGCCTAAGCAGAAGAGCATTATCACGACACACCTGTCCACAGTGTCATAAGGTGTGCAAGACATCTTCAGCACTAACTCGCCATATCCGACGCCATGAGTTAAGCAGTTCCCCAGAGAGAGAAAAGGAGGATAAAGATTCAAAAACAACAGAAACAGTTGTTAACACTGTTAGCAGAGACCTAGAGACTGAAAAAGGACTGGTTCCCAGTGCTCTCTCTGTTTCAGTTATCAGCTATTCAACACCAGACCCGCCCAGCAGTGGTGACTGTTTGGCATCACAACAGCATGAAGACCATCTCAGTGAAGTGACGGATGGACGTCAGATGTCAGAATCCAGTGACAAACCTGAACTGACAGAGCTCACACAGCCATCTCCAGAGAGAGAGCCCAGCCCACAAGTTGCAGACCCTCCATTAGAAAGCCCAGTTAACCTTACACCCACCAAACACGAATTCACGCCTGCCACGCCCTCCGCTCTCCAGAGCGTGCTAGTCATGAATGGACCTGAATGTCTGGACTACCGCACACCCAGCAAAAAGAACCTAGACAGCCAGATCCATAGACTACCCAGCCCTGTGCACATAGTGGCATCCACCAACACCTCTCCAAATGTGCCCGTGACGTCACAGACCAGAATAACCACTGCTGCTCCTCCTGTTTCCATGACAACAGCTCTCAGCTCTGAGGGGGGATTCATGAAACGGGATGGGGTCATTATGGACCGAGAGAGGCAGGGTGGGAGTGGTATATTTCTACATGGAGGTTATGAGGAACCACCTCTGGTCCAAGATCTCAGAGTTGCATCCCTGTCCAGGAGTCCCTCTCCCAATGAAGCACAAGACCTGACCATGTCCTCTATTCTAGCTAGAGAGAGGGAGATAGAGAGGCAGAGGGAGAAAGAGAGGGAGCTCGAGAGACAGAGAGAAAGGGAGAGGGACAAAGAAATGGCAAAAGAGAGAGAAAAAGAGATAGAGAGGACCCAGCAAATGAGTAGAGTTGCACACGCCCCCGAGGACCAGATTTCTCTGTTGGTCCCTAAAGAGGAGCCCTTGAGCCCTGTGCCGTCCCCCCAGCATATCCCCACTCAAACCACTATGAATGGACCCTCCTCACACAGGCACACTCCCAAGTCGCCCTGCCGGTCACCCTCAACTATTGGACTGTTAGCTCAAGCCAACCGCCAGGTTCACTCCAGTTCACAAGGACTCGACAGGCTCACACTGCCCACTGGAGCAGCTGGTGCCGGTGACCGCCCCTCTGCCCACGCTCTGCTTCTCCCCCGAGCCCCCCAACCACCTGAGCCGGAGCACCAGGAGACAGTTTCTTCCAGAGACTCCCAGCAGGGGGACGCCAACCCGGTGGGATACCATGCCCAGAATTATCCCCTACCCCTTATTGTGCCGGACAGCTACCGCTCTGGGAAGAAGCAGGAGGAAAACCTGCTTATGTCCTCCTATCCTGCTGGAGCTCTTCCCTTTGGCCCACTGGGAAAAATGATGGTTCCTAATGGTGGGGATTTGGCTAAGCTGCCATTTTATCCTGACCCTTACCAGCTGCTCTATGGGCCCCAGCTGCTGGCATACCCTTATAACCTTGCGGCTCTTCCTGTGGCTCTGAATATGATGGCACCTGGAGGAGACAAGGTGGAGCCTCTGCCTTTCCTCCCTGCCATCTTCAACTATGCCGCCACTGCTGGACCCTACATGGGCGCAGCCCCTCACCCCCTTGTGGCAAACCCCAGCCTCTACAGCAGCAGCAGTGGCAGCAGCAAGAAGCAACGAGACAGCAGCGGCAGCAAACCGTAGGACACAGAAGCACTATAAGGAATATATTTCAAAGGGGATGGCCTGGCCTGTTTAGGATGGGAGCGGGAGGGGTGCATTGCTCACTGGGTCACACTCGCACAGTACCCCTGCCTCTCTTTTATTCAGTAGAGATCAGAGCTAGGCATTAAAACAGGGGAAGGCTGAAAGGAGGAGAAGGAGCAAAGAAACGGGGAGAGAGGCCGATATTATAGTGACGTATCATTACTCCCCTCTCTTTACTCTCACTCACCTTTCTCTGTGTCTCTCCTGTCTTGCTGTAGTGTGTCGTAGTTCTAGAGCTTGATTAATCTTCCTCTCTGACTCATTATATTATCTTATAAGAATAAGAACTGCTAACAGGGTGTGTTGTGTGAAAAATTAGTTCAGTCTGCTTCCCTTTATAGTCACCGCATAACGAGGATAAACGCTCTTCAGGGAAGGCTTGTGTGGGCAAGGATAAGGGATGAGACAGAAGAGTCCTTACTCGACGCAGTTAGAGGTGGAGCATTAAGCAACTCAAACCTTTGCGTATGTTTGTGCGAGCGAATGAGAATGCAGGTCTATCCTGTTGTCAAACTGTCCATGAAAGTTATATATGAGCATGTACATGCACATGTATGTAGGGATGTGTGCATGCAGAGGTGGGCTTAAGCAGGCATTACTGCGTGTGTGTGACAGTGTGTGTGTGTGTGTGTGTGTGTGTGTGTGTGTGAATGGCTAGATCATTCCGTGTGAGACGCACACAGCATTCCTACTCTAGTTGGAATAGCTAGCTGTAGGTCAATGTGTAGAAGTGCATTTAGAAGTGATTCCTCATATCCAAATCATTAAGAAGTCAATGCTATGGATGGACGCATGACAATGACAGATCATCTGAGCTTCTTATGTCTCAGCTAACCTGGCGACTTCGTGGCCAGATGACACTGTAGGATCTGTATAGCATTCACCATAGTTTAAACCTTACGTGCACAAAATAGAAAAGTAGTGGTCACTTAAAGGGGACACTTGTAGCTGCTTTGGATATGTAGCTGGCCACTGGGTAAGAATTAAAAGGCTGGTAGACCATTGCACTTCCGTTTTTCATCTCATTTCCTTCACGTAAAAAAACAAAAAGGAAAAGAATAAAAACCAATCAGCCTTCATCTTACGTAGCCTTTCCCTCTTTGATTGGAAGAGGAAAAGGCTCCATTTCCGAAGCCAGGAAGAAGAAAGCAATAGCAAGGAAGGAAAAAGAAAAAAAATGGATTCAGGGTATTGAGTTTCTGGATAGGAAGAAATATATGGGCACAAAACTGTTGGACTCTGAGTCAGAAGGCCCCACAGAAATGAAAATGACAAAAAAAACTGCTTCCCACCTGAGGAGAGTTTGGAAATAGCCTGAACTATTTCCCCTCCTGCCCTGTGTCATTTACTAAGAGATAGGAAAAGGCTGAGCTTAGCAGCCAAAGTGGTGGCCCGACACTCCCCAGCTGCCCTCCTGGGGCCTTTTTGTTATGTGTAATGTTATCTCTATATGTTTGTTTTGTTAAACTATGTTGTTGTTTATGTTGTTTAGCCCTCTTACCAGATGGAAATGGCTTCAGTGAAAAAGGGGGAGTAAACTTAAAAATATGAATGTAAATTTAGTCATGAGGTTAATGAAGTACAGCTGCATTAATGGTAGAGTTGGTTTCAGTTCCTTTTTGTTTCTGTTTTGACACAAATAACCTGTTAAAGAACCGTATAACGTCTGGTATGCATATATACAGTAGTCCTAGGAACATGTCAGTAAACTTGGGTTCTGTATCCACAAAGCATGAGCAACACTTGCTTCCTAACCGTTTATATCCTCAGCAAATCTGGCATTGTGCGCACAGCTTTTGTTTCTGTTTCCTTTTATATTTTCTGGCCTCTTCATCTTCCATATCTCTCTTAATATTTCTTTTTTTTTTTTTTTATTATTCGTTATAGACCGCAGTTTTGGAGATATTCCACAAAACTAGCTGCCACATTTACGTCTCACAGTCACTATTTAGGAGCTGTTTTTAATTCTCCCTCTTCCCTCATGCATACACACTTGCGCACTGCACCTCCTCCTGAACGGAGTACATATGTTTCAGCGTGTGTGTGCATGTGTGTGATGGTACCGGGGCGCCTTTTGGTTCAGGCAGGAGTGTGTTAAAACACAGCATGACCAACTGTGGATGCACAAGCATCCCCCTTGGGTGTGGTTACAAGCCTTTTGCGCGTAGGCCGTACGTGTCTTGTGTACAAGACGTGAGACGTGAGTGACCGGTTGAATAAGGAAACCAAAATACTGTAAATCTGCCGAAGCAGCATACCCCATGGCGGTATATGGGCCACCTGTTTTTTTTTTTTTTGGTTGTTTTTTTTGGTTCTTTGACACTTTTTCTGTGGGTTAGTTTCAGTGTAAAAAAGCCTTGCTGTCTCCAATACTCTCTCTCAAGCCATTCCTGTAGATGGACATGTTTGTGTTTTTGGACCATTTCTTATGCCATAGTTTGCCATCAAGGTTATCATACAGACCAAAAGCATGCAAATCAACGTATTGTAGTGACTGGACTGGAATCTGGTGGTAATATACAACTATTTACTGTATGTTTTAGTTTAAATGAATGTGCCTCTGCTTTGATATTTAAATAATTATCTATAGTAAGATGTGGATCTGCCAGATTTCAACTGTTAAGGTGCCTTGTTATGGCATAAGAAATTTGAATAGTAAATGAACATTTTCTTGAGAAACGACAGTATAATTTGGAGATAGATTTCATGGCTTTGTTTGCTATGAAGCTGTTCATAGATGTAGGGGTGTGGCTAAACTGTTTTGGTATCGTGTACATGTCTAGGGTAATACTGTGCCATATAGAGCCCATGAAATATGTTAATGTTATTTTTAAAAGATGTTTTAATGTTGCCTGATGACTTTGTCTTTAGATTTGATACAAAGGCTTGTAGCCACAGCTCTCCCAAAGTCTGTAGTCTCCTTTTTCCGACATTCTTCTTGTTCTCTCTCTCTCTCTCTCTCTCTCTCTTTCTCTCGCTCTCTCTCTCCCCTTGTTTCCGTCTCCCTTTCTTTCTCTTTGCTGCAATCAAACAAAATAAAGTATTAACCTGATGACCCAATGAAATCAGCTCTAGTCTGGTCTCATGTTTTTTAAGATGATGTCTCTATTCATCTTTACAAGTTGATCTTGAGTTCTTAATGTGAACCATGTGCTTAAAGTTGGCGGATGCCTGGTTCCACATTGCTTGATCCTCCCTGTGAATTCTCTGGTGAAATGTGCATTCAGCATTTATCGAAATTGGTCAAAATGAATCCTTTGCACTTCTTTTAAACGCATGGTCCGTTGTTTGATACTGATGCAATTTACTTCTATCGCTCAGTGTTGATTTAATGTCTTCTCTGTTTCCACTGGTGAATGTTTTTCAGTATCTTTGGTTATTCATTCCATGGTTTTTCTTTTATGTAACATTAACCACAGTGCGTTTTCATGTTTTCTCTATACAAATATTGTCCTGAAAGTTTGTTCCTGACATATAAACCAGAGGCTAATTACAGCTTCCTCTTGACAGAGTCAGGAGCTGATTTTTTACCATCCTTGAATGAGCACTTTCCCACTAGTGACTCAGTGGTTTAAACAGAAACACTCGGCCCGGTGAGTCACCCGGCTTTGCACTCCTAAAAGATGATCTCACAGATGAATTTCTTCTTGCAAAATTGAATATGAACGAAAGAATTTCAGAAATTGAATAAATTTATCAAAACATTCATCATGAAACGTTGAGAGTGAATGAAAAAGGTGCATTCATGGCCTGCAGGATCCTTGGGATTTAAAGGAGTAGTGCTCTCTTGTCGATGATACATTTTTTCACTAATGTAAAGTACTGAATAAGTTTACCTCAATGGATCTTTTTCACTGTGCACATTCTGACTTTTCAATGTAGAAAAAGTGTTAAAGCCCAACTAACTATTTAGAAACAAGGAAGAAAGAAAATACAATTAAAATAGATTTATGCAACTGATTCCCAACATCTACTTACATCCACGTGATCTTACATTAACTTGTGTAGATACATGTAGAAAAGAAGTTTTCACACTCATCAGCTGATAGGAGAAAGTTTCTCTGTGCTCATTGAAAATCAGATTTTTAAAGGGTGGGGCCTAAGAGCATGCTTTGTGACATCAAAATAGATCAGGAAGTCAATCTTGGTGCAGTATGCGACTTATAAAAGTGTGATGTAGAAACCTGAAGCCACCAGTGCACAAACACTGAGAATGGACTTTACAGTGAAGGAGGAGACATTTTGTGTCCCAACAGTGAAACTACAACAGTAGATGACTTTTTAAGGATTTTTTTATCTGTAACTTATATTTGTTTTTTGTAGAAAAAACACATCAGACGAACATACATTTTCCAAGCAGAATATTTATAAATGTCGTATATATGTCTGGAGGGGCTCTTTAAACATGAAATATTGAGATAATGGTAATCATCATGACAGCCCTACAACATACCGTGTGTTTAAGACATGATTAAGGCACAATTGTTATTTACTGAATAACAGGTTGTTTACTGAATGTTACTTTCTTTGTGTTTTCCCGGTATTTCCCAGTCACCACAGCCTTCTTGGAAGGGCGCTGTGTCACAGGGAGGCAGTGTGCAGAAAAATTGTTTTGTGAATTGAAACACAGGCCCCCTCCCATCTCTCCCCCTTTGACTCTACAACACACACTCATAGTCAGTTGGGGTGAATCAAGGTCCCTGTGTAATGGGTAAACACAGTGGTCAGGCTAAGGTCACTCACCCAGCCTGCAGTAGTGTCCACTCTACATGAATCACCATAAAGGCAGAAAATCCACAGACTGATGGTAATGCACACTTTATTAAAAAATTATACTTTGCCGAATTTGGAATTATTATCTTTCTTCTGCCTTTGACTATCTTGTTTCTCTCCTCTATCCTCTGTTTACCTGCTGCCCACTCAGTGTCTTTCGCCCACCTACATTTTCACGAAGATCCTGGGCATGAAGCGCTCCCTCCTGGGGATCAATAACCTGCACTCACTGACCACGGCATATTTGCCCTCTGGACCCCAGAAAAGTGTGCCAGCACACACCAACGCTTCACACACTCACACTTGTAGAGTCTCTCTGCTCCTCGTCCCACCACTGACATCTGAGGGTAGTGAACGCAACCGAAGGATGGTCACGGTTTGGAAAGTGATGGCAGGTGGATTGCTCCTCACTCTCAGCCTCACTCTGCTGGGGTGGGGAGCTGAGGGACAGCAGAACAGACGGGAAAAGGTACGTTCATGTGCGATGCCACGATTATAATGCCTGGAATGAATAGTGCACTGCTGTGTGTGTGTGTTTTCTTAAAATGCTCCTATCAGGCTTTATCTGATAGTCTAAAGAGCATGTGTATCCACTGGTCAAGAATAAATAAAGGAACACATTTAAAAGGAGTGGGATCCCTAACATAAATTAAATAGCTAACATAAATCTAATTCCTTATATAGTTGCAAATATCTGTTTCAGAGCCTCTTTCACAACTTTAAAATGATTGTTTTTCCCTCTGTATATTTTATCCAGTAGAAGTCCTGTATAATATTCTATAAACCAGTAAACAAATATCATAAATCATCTCATACAAGCAATTCCAAAGCCAGATGAAGAGCGGTATCGCAGCATCTCCTAACAGTGATTTTAGATCAAGAACATTTTGAACAGAACAGATTGTGAGACAACCAGCTGTTTTTACCTGATTGAATTATTATTTTTTTCCCATTAAGTTTCATGATAGTCATTGTGTACAGATACACTGATGCCACATGGCTCTCTTGTCAATGACTCCACATTGATTTTTTACTTCATTACCACTTAAGAATTTGAGTGACCACACTTTATTAAACAGTAATTAAGTTGAATCAATAATTGAATAACATTCATCACTCGGTTTAATATGGCTTTAACCACTAACCAATCATCATATCTGACAAGGAAATACTAAAGCAATGAATGTGAACTGTGAACACAATAATGAGCTGAAGTTGTGTTTAATGAGAACCTTGTGAACACTGTGTCTTTCAGAAAGAAGTATCAGGCTCGACTAGCGTCTACCTCGGCCAGGAGAGAGACATCTGGAGGCCACTGATCCACACAACAGTCAACCTCAGTGAGATCAGAAGGTACGTCAGCAGCAGCAGACCAACTGCACCGCGAAGGCTTCACATCAACTGCTCAAAGAAAATCTAAGCTTTAGGAGGCAAAAAAAATGCATGTTTGAAAATGAACTCTGGGAAGAATGTGTAGAAGCAAGTAGAGGGTAGAGTTAGGAAACCCACTGGACGATTGTTGATCCTGAACCCCGTTATTTTCAGTAACTTAAATATTAAATAACCATTCATTATATTCTCCCTCTGTCAGTGGCATTGTTCTTTGTAAACCGTACGGATAATGATTAATATTTAAAAGGCAACCTGAGACACTTCTTTATCTACTATGGACCTGCATTCCCATGAACAACTATTCTCTTCTTTTTTTCTGTTTCTGCAGCATCAAGTCATCCTTTCAGTTCCGGACGTTTGACCCAGAAGGTGCAATTTTCTATGGAGACACCAAAAACGGGGAGGACTGGTTTGTGTTGTCCCTGAAAGAAGGCATCCCTCTGATGCAGATCAGCAAAGGGGACGTCCTCATCAGTGTGGCAGGCGGCCCCAAACTCAACGACGGAAAATGGCACACAGTGAGTTTCTGGTGTAGTTTGATTTAACCTGAAATAACACAGGACAAATTCTCAGTTTGTTTGAAGATTTAAGGCTAAATACTAGATTAAATGGACTTTCTTGCCACATATTAAATAATCATATAGTCTACTGGACATAGTGTGTCATAATACAAATTGGTGACCATGTGTTGCAACGCAGGAACTTTAAGTCTGAATTCTTCTTCTTGGTGCCACCAAGCTGGAGGTGAGCAACCAAGATAAGTTTGTGATTCTAGATGTGGACGGCTCCAACGGGCTGGCGGTGGGCATGCAGTCCAAACAGATGGATGAGGTCCTTTCAGGCAAACTCCGATTGGCTGTTGGTGGGATCCTGATCAGCAAGGAAAAGATGATTGTTCAGGTATAGTGTGTTCATCCACCCTGGCGATTCTCCTATCTGTCTGGTACCTTAGAATGAGACATTTTATCTACTGAGGGAGTGGGTCCATTTATATGTAGTCTGTTGAACTGCCATGTTTCTACAGTAGCCCACTTGCTCAAAATAGGGCCATTTGTGTTTTTTGCAATCTGCAACTTCACCACTAGATGCCACTGAATCCTACACACTGGTCCTTTAAAGCTCAGACAAAGCCAGTTTGTGGACCTTGAGTTGGGATTGGTTTTGCAAACTTTGGCAGCTGTGTTGATTTCTGCTTTATTGAGGCTTTTGTCAGGCTCTCTGCCTCTTTTGTTATGAGTGTAAAAAGCAGCTTTTGTTGTTAATTCTGAAGGACTAACACCAGAAACATTACTTCTCTGTAGCTGTTATAAAATTGATAATATATCACAATGCACTGTAGCTGCAGCTTTGTGCTGGACATGACTTAGTATCAACATGTGGTCAGCTGTCCTTGGAAGAAAAGCAGACATATTACCATAAAATGTGCCTATAAATTACAGTTTGATTTGTTTCGTAGGAGTAAAGTACTATAAGTGGCTTTTGGGGTGTTTGGGGTTGTTCAAGCACCCTGTAATGGGACTGTGACAATGTAAACTTAAGTTCATACCACTTAATGCATTGTTCCTTGCTACAGTTTGAGCCGCAGATGGACGGCTGTGTACGCGAAGGCAACTGGCTAAACCTCAGCGTCCCCTGGCAGACAGAGGTGGAGGAGCTCTGGCCCTGCTGTGACAGAGTGAAACCTGGCAGCTACTTCCCTGGCACTGGATTTGCCATTTTCAACACCTCAGGTGGGAACTTTGTGCTCGATTATACAAGATATGGGCAAGTGCTAACACTCCTGCATAGAATAACAAGCTTTCCAACAGGCCTGGATAATGCATTTTTTGTCTGACATCTTGGGTAGAAAATATTGTATTCATTAATTGAGTTATTGTTTTGTCCTCTGCAGTTTTCCCCATCGAGGCGGATCATGGGGTCAAGGTTGAATTCCAGGGGGATTTCAGTAAGATGGATGGGACCATTTTGAGCATCAGGGCTCCTGGGCAAGAACTGATGTTCGATTTAGTGGCCAGTAATAACAAAGAGGTATGCATGTAAATCAGACGTAAGTCAAACTAAATTTGCCTGTAATTCCTAGCATCTGTTTAAAACTGCTCATAGCACTGTAAGCGTGCCTTCAGAGCTTACATGAACATTTGTTTCTTCTTCTGTTTCTCTCTCTTGAATGTGCAGGAGGTCAGTCTCACTTTCGGTAAAGAAAAGCTCAGTATGAAATACACCGTCAAGAGACTGGTGATAACCTTTCAGACAGATTTACTGCAAGTGCTTCAAGATGAAGATGAATCAAAGACCACAACGTTATCTATCAATCCAACGAGCCACCCTGGTTATTTGACCACATGGAGAGAGGGTCGACTTGCCTTTGGAGGTCTCCTAGGTGAGATTAAAACAGCGCTGATGTGCAGTGTATCTTCAAATTGTCGGCACAGTCAGCTACAGTTTTTATATCTTCGAATTGAAGGTCCTATATTACTGTTGAGGAACAGGGATTTGATTTGCAGACAGAGTTTATAGAAAAACCACACAATAAAAAACATTCATAACATGGACAGCACACAAAACAAGCAGTTCCAATAAAATACATTCCCATACAGAGAAGCCACTGATTAGGCCAAACATGGAGCTTGCTGGAGTGCCATACAAGGTCATTCTTCCTCCTCTTTTTTACTTTTCATTCAGGTGAGGGTGAGGACAGCGTTGGCTCCAACTTCTTGACAGGCTGTCTGGAGAAGATTCAGATCCAAGGGAAGGATCTGGACCTGGACTTAGGCGTCAAACACAAGTCAATCTCCTCTCACAGCTGCCCTGTTGAAGCATGAAAGTATGCACATACAATACATGGACCAGACATTTGCAGTGCACACCTTTGGGTCCGAATGGCATAAAAAGTACAATATGTAAAGTTCAAAATTGTCTATAAAATGATAGAGACACATCTATAGAGCATAACAATACCCTAACATCCTTCTTATGAGGGTACAGATAGTCATTCTGTAGTTGAATGTGTTATTTGTACCAATTAACCTCTAAAATGTGGAGAATTTGAAATAAAATATGAGTATGTTGTGCAATAAATATCCCTCCCCTTAGCACCATTTGAACAGAAAATGCTGATTAATCTGAGAAATGTGAGTGATGTTGTGACCTTGGTACGTGTAACAGTATGTTTCTAAATAAAATATGATTCTCCCTATAATGGCTTTCCATGAATGTGAATTTTACTGCTATATTTAAGGCTAAATAAAAGCCGATAGTGCTTTGAGGAGATTAAAACACTCTGATTCAATAATAATGTTAGATACACTGAGTGTGGGGTGTGACTAAGATTTAAACACATGGATTTTGCTCCCTCTAGTGGATCGTTAAAGATAATGTCAGAGTCATACCATCCAACAATATCTGGACACTAAATTCATGTAGAATCACAAATCTGAGGTTCTTTTTTCCTCTTTATTAAATGTTCATAAAGTTGAAAGTATATTGCATGTGCCTGCGGGAGTCACCTTTTGAGTTGAATAAGTAGAAAAGGAAAAGAAAGAGAACAGTACAAAAGTACATTTCACGTTTTTTTTCTACGTTTTCACATCTGTAAGAGTTTGAGCAATGTTTGAGTGAGATATTCTTTTGTATTATTTAACTATGTAAATGTATTAATAATCAGGGTATAATCAGGGTATTATGTTACACACTGAATATATTTAAAGTTATGAAGAGAAATGATCAATAAAGAGATTTTTCATCTCTTTATTGTCTAGAATTCAGGCTTTATTTGAATAATTTAACTACACATTCATGGTAAACAAAACAGAACATACACAACATAATAACACAATGAAACCAGTGCACAATGCATAATGGTGAAGGCTCTTGCAATTAATATAAACAATTCAATTAAAAATAAATAAAAAGTGTAATTTTAGGCAGATTTTGCAAGAAGATTCAGTTCATTCTTCCACTTTGTAATTTGGGGCATTTATATCTATGAATAAAAGGTTTTAGACATTCAGTGGGAGCAACATTATCCAGACTGAAGACACAAATAAAAACAGATGTGAATCAGATAAAGGCCTAAAATAAAACAAATAAAAACATAGATGTGAATATAAAATAAAACAAATAAAAACATAGATGTGAATCAGATAAAGGCCTAAAATAAAACAAATAAAAACAGATGTGAATCAGATAAAGGCCTAAAATAAAACAAATAAAAACAGATAAAGGCCTAAAATAAAACATGAAAGCTAAAGCTATAATAAAATATATAAATAATAAAATACACACACACACACACAATATAGTAACATAAGTTGAATTTAGTGTTTAAATCACATTAAATACAGTTTTCATTATTTATAAACAAGTGTCATTTGATAACAGAAATGGGTGCGGTGCGGTTGCAGAAATCTGCCGGATGTCATAACGTTACTGTCGCAAAGCCCGACTGTCGTGAACACTGGCCGCCCACTGAAGATGGCGGCGGAGCTGCATCCGCGGAGCGGAAAGCTGATCGGCCTGTCCAACTCCAACCGAACCGCCCGGCGCAACCAGCCAGTGCAGGAGTTCAACCACGGCCTGGTGCTTAGTAAAGAGCCGCTGAGAGACCGGGATGTGTTCACCGTCCGCATTGACAAGAAGGTAAACAACCGCAGGCCCGCTGCTGCTCCTCCAGACCGGGCTGAGAGCAGCGGGAGTCCGGGAGCAGCGCCGGTGGGTCGGGCCGGTGGTCCGTCCGCAGTGAGGGGCTGCCCGGGGCGGCTCACGCTGCTTGACAGCGACCACGGTTGTCGCGGTAGTTGAGGGGCGAGTAGCTCAGACAGCCGGGGCTTTAACCCGGGGGGGGTTCATGAACTCATCACCGAGATAACGAGGACCGGCTCGCGTTGCCTTGGTACCGGCCGTTAACGTTAGCATGCTAACGAGCCGCTAGCAGCAGCAGGCGGTGGGAGCTCACGGTAGCTCACGGTAGCCGGGGTTAGCCTTTCTGGGAGGCGCTATGTGGGGCTCAGTCGTGTGTTGACAGGGTCTGAGGGGTCTGGGGGGGTCTGGGGGGTCTCGGGGGTCTCGGTGTTGTGTAGTGCACTGCAGGAGTCCAACTAACGTGGTGAACGTCGCTGTGGTTGGTTTGTGATGGCTAATGATACTGCAGTGCTCTCACAGTGTGAACAGACACACAGGAGCTCAGTTAGGATGTGTTATGTGTTACTACTGGGATTAATCTAAAGTGTAGAGCAGCACCAGTGTGACCACTAAAGCCTGTAACTCATTAATCACTGGAGTCTGGGAATATACACTCTTCCAGTCTCTTTCAGCTCATCATCAGTATCTGCTGTGTTTATCTCCATATTGATTCATCCAGATCCAGATGTGATGTGTCCTTGTTGTATCTGGAGACGGTGATTCATTTCTCCCCACTGTATAGGAGAGATCTCCCTCAGTGGGAATGTCTGTATGGTTTTAGGGGTTTATTTTAACGCCAGTAAAATCTCACCAAGTTACGGGTTGATCTCTCTTCGTACTTCTGATCTCATCACCTGAATTGTCTCTCAAGGTTGAAGGTGTATTTCCTAAAATATGTTATTGCCATGTGACTAGAAGATGAGTGGTAAGCGTGTGTTCAGCTCTGTTGTTTTGTTTTTTATATGAGGGTGTGATTAAAAGAACAAATTAAATTCTTCCATCCATAATATTCCTTTCGTTTCTGTAGCTTTAACACGACTGCTTATCTTCGGCTTGCGCTCTGTGACTCAGGTCTCCCTCGTATCATATCAAAGGCTGTGCAGTGTTTACATTTTGGCTGTTATCAGCGTAGGAGGAGTGCTTGTCTGTTGTAATGGCCTCTGCAGAGTGCAACCCTACTGGGTTTGTCAACAACATGGCAGCTCTGGAGCCTGTGCCAGTGCCAACTGGGCCACTTGCTCCCCCTCTGAATGACAGTGTCTTCGGCCAAGACACATAGTTATTGAGCAGATCTACCGTGATGAGACAAAAGCTGCACGTGAGCCGGTGAAGCTGAACATGTGGTTTAATAGCACCTACTGTATGTCAATGATTATCCATCCCTTATGGGGCTCTCAGCCTGATAAGAGCTCTCCTGCACTGCCTCATGCTCCGTCATGACATGCATTGCCTGTCTGAAAATCAATAGTTTTCCATCACAGCGCGCCCAGACTGGCATGACGGCCCAACCTCATCTACTAACAATCCACCAAGCTACAGTGGATGTTAGTAGATGAGTGCAGACAGTTTACCCAGAGTGGGACACTGTCAGTGGTTGAGGGTTTTGTATTTAAAAGCTGTGGTTGTAGAGGAAGTTTGTAAGGAAGATGTTGTGTGTTTATGAACTGGAAATGTTTAATTTAAATTGTAGATGTCTGTATCAGCTTAGTGTTTGTTACAACCAGTTAGAGCTGAAACAATAGGCTGATTTCATTGATAGTCATCAGTGACTGTGTTGATAGTAGATTCATTATTTTAGGTCATTTTTAAAGAATGAATATCAAACATCTCTAATTCCAGCTGTATGACAGTAAACTGAATATCTTTTGGTTTTGGATTGTTGGTCGGATGAAACAAGCTGTTTGAGGGGTTCTGAGAAATTGGGATAATTTCTGTTTTATAGACTAAACTATTATTGGATTAATAGAGAAAGAATTGCCAGATTGATTGATTGTTAAAAAATGTTTTTTTGCAGCCAATATTATCAATACGCTAATTGTATTATAATATTGTTTACAGTCTGTTCTAGCATTATGTTACTAATTAGGCTACAAAAATGAAGGTATCAGTAAAAGTTTTGTCAAAATCATTTCACTGTTTTAAACGTTAACTGCTGTTACAGTTTCAGTTTATTCTATAATGTAGTTTATTATTGTGAGACTTTAGTTCACCTCTCCCCTGTACACAACTGTCTCTGTGTGTGTGTGTGTGTGTGTGTGTGTGTGTGTGTGTGTGTGTGTGGTCTGTGAGAGGAGAAGCTTTTCCCTCTCTGCATAGTCGTAGCAGTCTCAGGCTCTGCTTTTGATGCAATTAATTTTTCATTTCTTTAGAAAGCTGTCTAGCGGTCCGACTCGGCATGTATGGTTGTATCCTGTAGTTATTGGTCTTTGAACAGAGAGAGAGAGAGAAAGAGACTCTGAGGCAGACACCCACAGGCTGGTTGTTACATAAGTGAATGAGCAAGGGAAGGAGATGTCTGTCTCCTCCACACAGCGACCCGGTCAGGCTGAGTTACTTCTAAATCTGTTAACCCAGATACTCAGGCTTTCGTAGCACACTGCCTTACATAGCACCTGCCACGCGGCTGAGGAGGACACCACGGGAACAGACAAAGGAGTGGAGGCAATGATTGCTGTTTTTTTTTTTTAAATGATTTTGATCTCTGAGGAAATTCTCTTTTGTTTTTCTCTTTGGCACGGAGGTGAGCTGCAGAAAAACCTCCCGAGAGCCAGCAGGACTTCAATGTTATGCTCAAGGTCACTTCATCAGGGTGGATTTCTGCCAGCTTACACTAGAGTCCTGTGGCGTGCCAGGGAAAAAAGGAAAGAGGAGATCGGTTGACGATTGATCCTAAAGCGTCGGAGTGCTTTTGATCTGATTCTGAAGGAACAAACTTCATTGCTTTTTGTTTGATGTCGTTCTGCGGGGGGCAGCAGGTGGAGTGCAGCGAGCCAGGAGATCACTCCACAGTGGGATGACGTGGGTTCATGCCCCTGTGTGTCGGAAAGAATCTGCTTGTACCTCTAAGCGGGACGCTGAATGTCCACCAGCTGCACCGACTCCGCTCTGTAGCTGACACTGCACTCTGTCATCCTCATCATGGAGGCAAAAAAAAAATAATAGAATTCACCCCTGGAGATCAATAAAGTATCACATTATCGTGAGCTTATGTTGAGTTTTGTGTTTCTGGGAAGAGATGGATATCGTGGGCTGCGTGTTACGCGATATGATTCCAATGTCATGCAAAGACGGAAAGGAGTTTTGCAGTAAAACATTTGTTTTTCACGTCTTGAGTCTTCAATGGAAGGCACGATCACGGAGGTGACGCCTGCTTGCTTAAATATTGTTTGCTTTGTATGCGAGGGGTTTATCACATCTGTGTCTTCATGAGAGTGCTCAATTATTGTTTCTGTCACTATACAGTGGAAAGAAGAAAACATGATGAAGGAAGTAGGAGCGTTAGCGACTGACAGCTGTCATCTGGAAACTCAAGTAGCTGGGGAATTATAATTGACTCCACTAAGATTTTTTTAGGCCTCAAATTCCAAAAAGTAGGAGAGGAAATCTGCACACTGGTTGAAAGCTTCCAAATCTTTATTCACAGGGAACTGTTTTGACCCTACAGGTCCAGTCCTCTCATTTCGTGGTCAACCGACCATCAACATTTGCAACAGGAAGTGTTGATGTGACGTGAGCGAGATGTATTACTTTCTTTTTTTTTTTCTTTAATCTGTTTTCCTGCATCAGGTCTAAATATAGCAGGGGATGTGCACTCTACTTCTTTTCTGCATCAGTATATTTTTAAACCTCTCATCATGGAAGTTGGATGCTGGTGCTACAGTCATGTGCGGTACATACCATTGGTTGGTTCTTGGAAGAGAGTATGTTTTATATATTTATATATTTTGCCATCACATAGCTTAGTCTGTTCCCTTTGTGTCACTGCGTGTTCACACTGTCCTGCTTTGTTTTCAAAGGAGCTCTCCCTGAGCTACGTTCTCCACTGACAGGACGACTAAAAATAACAAGATGGATCATACGACAAGGCACACTTTGTTTTCCATAGATATCTACCTGCAGTTTTTAGCGCAGTGCTTCACTCTTTTAACATCACAGCACACAGATGCTTCGACATGTCACACTGAGTAACAGCTACTGTTTTGTTACTACTTCTTCTCTCTGGATCTGTTACTGTAGTTTCCAGTGTCTCTAAATTTCATCAGCTTTCTAAAAATTCATATAACAATCAGTAAAGATTGTCAAATGTAAGAAATAAGATCAGACTCTGATAACATGATGTGTCATTATTTGTCATTCATTCACTCTTTCCGGTTTCCCCTCAGGTGAACTCGTGGAGCGGTTCCATTGAGATTGGTGTGACTGCACTTGACCCTGCCGGGCTGGACTTCCCCAGCAGCGCCACAGGCCTTAAGGGCGGCTCCTGGATCGTGTCGGGCTGCTCGGTGCTACGTGACGGCCGCTCGGTCCTGGAGGAGTACGGCCGCGACCTCGACCAGCTAGCCGAGGGCGACCGGGTGGGCATTCAGCGTAGCTCTCGCGGGGAGCTCCACCTCTGGGTCAACGGGCAGGACTGCGGTGCAGCCGCGAGTGGCTTGCCACCCAAACTCTGGGCAGTGGTGGACCTGTACGGCAAGTGCACTCAAGTGACAGTGGTGAGCTGCGAGCCGCCGCCGCCCTCCACGGAGAAAGAGACAATAGAGCGGGAGGCGGAGGAGGAGGAAGAAGATGAGGAGGAGGAGGAGGAGGAGGAGGAAGAAGAGGTGGTGGTGTGTGGGGTTCGGGAGGATGCAGGGATCACGGCACTGATGAATGTGGCAGCAATGAATGGAATGATGAATGGAGATGAAGGTAGGGGGACTTTTATCTGTATGGTTTGTTTATTTTCCTAACTGCATTCTGGGACTTGTCGTTTCACTTTTTCACTCTTCTCCCCGTCAGTGCCTGAGCTTAGCTGCAGTCACAGCAGACCAGACAAGTTCCCCAACAACCTGGAGCCTGACACGGGTAAGAAAACCCTCCTCAGATCAGTCGATGGGACGTAGTGCGATACGACCGGTATTGACACCTTCCTCTCTCTCTCTCTCTCTCTCTCTGTCTCTCTCTCTTCAGTTCTAACGGAGCACCAGCTCTTTGACGTGTTCAACAACGCAATAGTATCTTTTTATCGCTCTGAGGATGAGGGCGGAGGGGAAGACGGTGGAGGAACGGGAGGCGGCGGCGGAGGAGGAAACACAGGAACCGACTCCTCTTCCAGAAACGACAGGGGAAGCTGCAGCAGCAGCGGAGGAGGTGCTGTCAACAGCGACAGTGGTATAGGGACAACGGGAGGGAGTGGAGGAGGTGGAGGAGCTGGTGGAGACAGTGGAAATACTAATAACAGTCCCGCTGGTAACGGAGGGGTCGGGCCGGGGGTTGTGACAGGTGGGATGACCACCAACGATGCGCTGCTCTTCCACGAGAAATGTGGCACACTGATCAAACTGAGCAACAACAACAAGACGGCGGAGCGGAGGAGACCGCTGGACGAGTTCAATAACGGCGTGGTGATGACCAACCGGCCGCTCCGACACAACGAGATGTTTGAGGTGTTTACAATCACACGACTCACTGCTGGGATGTTTGTTAGTAACTGAATAATGGCGAGGCAGCGAAGGAGCCGCGTGATACTGAGATATCACTGTGTATGTGACCAATAACATAACAATGTATTTGAGAAATAGAGCTTCAAATGGTGATTCTTTATTAGCCTATTAGTAATTTTAATTAATACATTTTTAATTTAAAGTCATTTTTCATGCAAAAAGATGAAAGAGATTTCCTGCTTTCCTCTATTTCATTTCACATTAAATTAAATATCTTTGGGTTTTGGACTGACGGACTTTGAGAAACTTGGACGGTCTTTCTCACCATTTTCTGACATTTTATAGACCAAACATTCAATCTTAATCTACAAAATACTATGCAGATTAATAAGTAAATAAAATAATCATTAGTTGAATCCTTAACTGATTAATAGTCGTAGGAATTTTAGTTCCCAGAGTGGGAATGCAACATCTTCACATTTCTTGCTTTTTGGATGGAAAGATGTATAAACAAAGAAAAGTAGCAAATTCTCACATTTTGAGGAGGTGGATCCAGTAAATGTTTTACATATGTGCTTGATAAATGACTTATCAAACATTTCAGTCCATTGATTAACTGCTTCACAGCCGTTTAAGAACTGCCAGAGGATCATTACAAAGAATAAATATTTGAAAAGAGTTGCTCGTAATGTCAATATGATGAGAATCAAAAATGAGCTTACTTAATGCCCGGAGGTCCGGTGATATTCTCCACTCAGGCACAGCAGAGAAGATCTCTTTATTATAGCTGATGAATAATCAAAAAGAATTGTTAGAAATATTTAAACGCATTTCTGTTACACTTTCAGATCCGCATTGATAAGCTAGTGGACAAGTGGTCAGGCTCAATAGAGATTGGTGTGACCACACACAATCCCAACAACCTGGACTATCCTGCAACTATGACCAATCTGCGCTCAGGTAACACACACACACACACACACACACACACCACACACACACACACACACACACACACACACACACACACACAGACGTATAGAAACTGTATTAAACAAAACATTCAGTGTTCAGTGTGAATGATTATTCTGGCTGTTTGTATCAGGTACAATCATGATGAGTGGCTGCGGGATACTGACCAACGGGAAAGGAACTCGCAGGGAATACTGTGAATTCAGCCTCGATGAACTTCAGGTTTGTGATCTCTCACACACACACACACACACCACACGCACACACACACACACACTTCTTTCTGCCACCTGTCATGCAAGTGTGTCTGCTTTTTATAATCTCCATCCACTCCTCTCATCCACGTTCAGGAGGGAGATCACATTGGGTTGATGCGCAAAGCCAGTGGAGCGCTCCATTTCTACATCAATGGCATCGACCAAGGTGAGACCCTCCTTCATGAGGCCCCCTGCTGGGGGAGGGCGGGAAGTAGGTGGTCGCTGTGATATGATGGTGATTGTTATAAATGAGTGATTAAGAAACACCCCAACCAATCAGCTGCTTAAAGACTATCCGCAATGTCAGCAACAATATAAAGATGTGACTGAAGATCTAATATTTATAATCAATACTTACAAACACAAGTTAGACATAACTGTAACTGAGAATGTGTAATTAAACTCCCAACCACTTGGTGTCATTCCCCAGGTGTTGCGGCAGCCCAGACCCCCGGCGTGGTCTACGGCGTGGTCGACCTCTACGGCATGGCTGTCAAAGTGACCATAGTCCACAACCACAACCACAGTGACCGCCTCAGACGCAACAACGCCATCATGAGGGCTCTATCTCCCGATGTCGGCCGGCCCAGGCCATCTCTCTCCCTCACACCAGACACAGAGGGGCCTGACCGGCTGCTCTTCCACACCAACTGTGGCCAGAAGGCCGCCATCATCAGTGACGGAAGGACAGCTCTGCGGCCACAGTGAGTCCACCTCCCACCTCACACCTGATTTTATTACAGCTGTTCTTTTTACAGATTTTTAGGTTGGTATCATTGAATTTAATGTTTTTATGTTAAGTAAAAAAAATGAATTTAACTGAACATTTCTATGTGTGGAAAGTCATAAATTATCTTGATTGTGCTCAAGTTTTAAAAGATTAAATACTTAAAGTCTTCAGCTTTTCAGGCGTTTGATCTTATTATTCAATTAGTATTTTCATAAGTCTGGCAAAATACCTGCGTTTGCACTGGAGCATGGATAGAAACTGTCTACATGCAGCACTTTAAACATAAAACATGGACACACTCATAAGTTTACACCACTGCTTCCACAGTGCGACTGATGACTTCAACCATGGCGTGGTCCTGAGCAGCCGGCCACTGCGCTCCAACGAGGTGTTCCAGGTTCGCATCGACAAGATGGTGGACAAGTGGGCGGGCTCCATCGAAATCGGAGTCACAACGCACAACCCTGCATACCTGCAGCTGCCCTCCACCATGACCAACCTGCGCTCAGGTAAAGGACAATAAATCTGCTGAGTGGAGATTTCTTTCAGTCTCAGTCCTTTCTGATGACCAATAAATTATGTAATGATGAACAAAACCTTTGCTGCTGTTGTTTTCCAGGGACGTGGATGATGACAGGGAATGGTGTAATGCACAATGGAACAACAATACTGGACGAGTACGGACACAACCTGGACCGACTCAAGGTGAGTGAGATTTGTCTTTTATTACTCAGCTGACAGTCACCCTCCGTCCTCCGTCCTCCGTCCTCCTCCCACAACGCTGCTGACCTTTTCCTTTCTAGTAAGTTGTTTTTTTAACGCTTATATTTCCTCTTGCAGGCTGGTGACACAGTAGGCGTCGTGCGGAAAGAAGATGGCAGCCTCCACTTTTTTGTAAACGGTGTGGCTCAGGGCCCGGCAGCCTGGAATGTCCCTCCCAGTGTCTATGCTGTGGTTGACCTCTACGGCCAGGCTGCTCAGGCCACCATCATGGACGACATGGGTGAGAGAGGGAGGAAGCTCCGTTTTAAACAGTTTGGATGCTAAAAATAAAGATTTTACTTCTAACTATTTCCTCTCTTTCTGTTAGTGGACCTCCCTCCTCTCCCAGAGGACAGCTCAGAAGGCCCCACGGCCATGTCCCCCGGCAGCCCCTGCTCGGTAGGCGGGGCCAGCACAACCAACGACCTGCGTTTCCACCAGCTACACGGCACCAACGCCGTCATCACCAATGGGGGGCGCACCGCCCTGCGTCAGAACTGCCGCAGCGAGTTCAACGACGCTATTGTCATTTCCAACAGGTGATGAAACTAATTATGAACACCTGTTAGTGGTTCATATCCATCTATGGATCACACACATTAAAGACAGTAAGCACACACAGTGAAAAGCACAAGCTTGGGAGGAACACACCTTAACAGCTGGTGTAAATCTTACCTGACACACATCAGCTTCTACATCAGTTCTGCCATCTGTGCTTCAGTTTAAACTTCAGTTACCTGCAGACGGCCACAGAAAGTAAGAAAGCAATCTGAGTTTTCTGTTAATTAAAGTTTATGTGGGACAGATTGACAACAACTCAGCAGAGTGCCAAGAATATTAAGAGTTTAATCATGAAAGTGTCTTTAGACATTCTTGAGCACTATACTGAGTAATTAGGACACATTCAAGGTTTTAGTTGAAGCCATCCACAACTAATCAGGGTTATTAGTAATGTGGTTAAACAGCCAGATGAAACAGATGAAAAAGGAACTTAATCTGGTTTGAACTTGTTCCCTCCTTGTAGGTGCCTTCGAGATGGAGAGTTGTTTGAAATCATTATTCAGAAGATGGTGGACCGCTGGTCGGGTTCAATAGAAGCAGGTGAGGTGTTTCTATTGTGTCCACTAGGACTCCAGCTGCTTGTGTTTTCTGTGTTACCAAACATTTGTATCTATAAAGCATTTTAGACATTATATTTAAACCTTTTATTCTCCCCTCTCTGTGTGCCCAGGAGTGACAGCCATCAGGCCAGACGAACTCGAGTTTCCGAACACTATGACCGATATTGACTATGACACCTGGATGCTCAGGTAGAACACTGTGAATATGAAGACTCAAAAGATGTAGAACTGTATAAAAGAAACTCCAAAACTCTGATACAGAAATAAACTTTCTGTATCAGTGAGCTACATAAAAAAAGGAATGTATTACAAAACGGACACATATAGTTTAAATCATCAATTAAAAACCTTTTTTTCTTCCTTCTCCTGCAGTGGAACAGCCATCATGCAGGATGGCAACACGATGCGCAACAACTACGGTTGTGACCTGGACTCTCTGACCACAGGGTCACGGATTGGCATGATGCGCTCAGCCAGCGGTGACCTCCATTATTACATCAACGGCGTAGACCAAGGTGTCGCCTGCTCGGGCCTGCCACCAGGTAAAAGAGTAGTTAATAGAAATCATAATTAGATACGGCTGAAATACCACTGTCTTGAGTTAGAAATTTAATTTGATGACCCAGTGCTCCATGTCTTTCTCTCTCTCGCTGGCTCTCGCTCTCTCTCAGAGGTGTACGCTGTGATCGACCTGTATGGTCAGTGTGTTCAGGTGTCCATCACCAGCTCCTCAGGCCCGCTTGACAACAGCCTCTGTACCAGCAACATTACTGAGAAGAGCTTCCCCATCCACTCACCAGGTACACATCAGGGACCCAACTCAGGTCTGGAAAGCCATGAAAAGCATTAAAGGACCAGTGTGTAGGCTTTAGTGGCATCTAGCGGTGTTATTGCAGATCGCAACTCCCTCATTTCACTCACTCTTTCTAAGAATGAAGGAGAAACTACTGCAGCCGTTCTGGACTACAGTAGAATCATGGCAGACTGTGTGGAAAGTGACCCGCAGTGTCTGTAGATATAAAAGGCTCCTTTATGGTAACGAAAACGCATAGTTATGAATATTATATTCAATTTCTGCCAGAAGATCCTCCTAAATGTTACACACTGGAACTTTAAAGAAAATAAAGTCAGATTTTTTGGGAAATTTTGTGAATGTTTAGTGAGATAATTTCTTTTATATAGTTGGTTTTCTTTTTTTTTTTCTTCCATTCAGTTGTATTGAATTCTACAAATGGAAAGTAAAGCTAAAGAGTAGAAGAAAGGGAGTAAAAGATGAGATATATTACATATCAATTGCACTCAAAGTCTCATCTCCATATGTCCACTGTCTGTGTGTGTGTGTGTGTGTGTGTGTGTGTGTGTGTGTGTGTGTGTGTGTGTGTGTCGGCGTGCGTGTGTAGTAGCAGGCGTTGCCCACCGGCTCCACAGTAAACATGGTAAGAACGTGGTGCTGCTCGGTGAGGGCTGCCAGGCCGTCCGAGTAGGAGGTTACGCTCACGGCATCGTGTTCAGTGTGAAGGAGCTGAAAGCAGACGAGCTGTTTGAGGTAAAGTAGGGCTGAAAATAAACCTGATACTGATTGTTGTTGCTTTTAAAATAATCTGCACATTAACCTCCTAAATGCTGCTGTCTGCGTATATGGAAAAAAAATGTTTTCTCTCTTTCCTGATTCCTGTCTGCCCTCTGCAGGTGAGGATTGATGAAGTGGATGAGCAGTGGTGCGGTTCCCTGCATATCGGTCTGACCACGCTCGCACCCCCGGAGCTGCCGTCATGCCCGCTGTCAGGTCTCTCCCCCTCCCTCCCGCAGCTCCGCACCAAGGTCACCTGGCTGCTCTGCGGCTCTGAGGTCCGTCGCAACGGTGTGCTGCAGCGCCAGAACTACTGCTGCTCACTGGACCGGCTGACGGTAAGCTCGCACCTCCCTGCTCTGTGAGGAAAATCACTTCACACTGATTTTGGCAGCCCTTCGTGGACACTGTTAGATTTACAGTCCGTTCAGAATGAGTTAGAGGTCATATCAAAGACCTTTACACCCTCAATAATGTTGTCTTCTGTCTCAGATTCATTGATGGAGCCCCTCTGGCTGCTTCAAAGCCCTGATTAAAGACTAAAGACGTTATCACAGCTTTGAGATTGTCGCAATCTGCCAGAGAAGCTTAACAGAAATCTGTATTGATCAGTATCTCACATCAAAAATATCACATCTTTTTATGTAATCTCTCTTATTCTCTAACCATACTTTAATTCTTCTCCTTTTATCTTTTTGACTTTGTTATCATTTAGAACTGTTATCACTTGAGCACCTTAAAAGCTGCAGGGCAATAAAGAGAAGCACTAGCAGCAGTGGGATCAGATAATATTTAACAGTTCACAGGGAGAAATGTGGTAGTTTAACACAAAACTATTATTTAATATTGACCTTAAGGCAACAGAGGCCTTGGACACACAGACCTGAATCCTGAAGATGATTACTGTCATCCATCAAGTTCAATGATTTAAATATTCTTTTTGTTCTACTACAGGTGATGGATGATACTCTGTGGTTGCCAGATATTTGCATAAAGTCAATTAAACACAATTAAATCAGTAACAGGTTATTAATTCTGTCAATAGATATTGTGCTCATTATTGATTGATCTTCACTGAATATGACTGTTGTTTAGGTTGGGAACCGTGTGGGTGTGAAGAGGTGCAGTGACGACACCATGCACATCTTCATCGATGGAGAAGACATGGGACCTGCAGCGACTGCAGTAGCCAAGGTACACACACACATACACGCACACACATACACGCGCACACAGCCTCTCAGCCCCACGCCACCATTCACCACCTCTCTCTGGCTCCTCGCAGAATGTGTATGCAGTGTTGGACCTGTACGGGCGGATAACCGCGGTGTCCATCGTGAGCTCTTCGCTAATGGAGGACATGGAAAGCATCAAGGCGCCCTCGCTGTCCTCGGACAGCTGCAGCGAAGGAGAGGAGGACAGCACCCCCGTCAGAGAGGTAGGAGCCTAAAGAGACGAGGGCACCGGCACGTTAAAAGAGCCTGCGACTCAGACTCGTCACGTCACCTCTTGTCACCTCCAGGTCGAGACTGAGCCGTGCGCGCTGGTGCCCACCATCATGGCGTTCCTGGAGAACCACGGCAAAAACATCCAGCTGTCCAATCAGAACCTGACGGCTGCCAGAGTATCCAGCTACAACCAGGGCCTGCTGGTCACCGCCCAGCCGCTCGCTCGCCAGCAGCTGTTCCAGGTAACTTTACCGTACGGTTTGGTGTCTGTGTGGTACGAGGGGCTCAGTTCCTTCATCGGAATAACTTGAGTTTGAAATAAAAAGCTTTACATAATGCTCCATGTTAAATAAAAAGGGTAAAAACTAGATAGTAAACTATATTTTCATACCACTGAGATCTATTTAACTTAGATTGCATCAGTTAATTAGCTTAATTAAGTTTTATAACTAAACTGTGTATGATGAATTCTTAGATTTACCTTGATAGCAATACATGTAAAAATACCTTTTTTATATATCAGTGTATGTGTATTTCCTTTTGTCCTTGTTTGCCCTGTTTTATAATATTACCAGGAATTTGTTGTAAATAAATATTTGTGTTAAATTATATTTGTGATACATATTATTACATTATCATTATCAGCTGTCTTCAGTTTGTTCCATTATCATGCAGTGTGAAACCTGTGATAATGGTATAACTTTACACTGTGTAGAGCATACAGCACCTTTTATCCTTAGACCCTCAATTTGGAAGCAGAAAAAGTTCCAAAAAGAAAATCTTAAACAAGAAAAGAAGGTAGATAAGAAGTAATAGTAGTGTTAAAGAGGACGTCACACAAACCTAAATTCAGCAGCATAATAAAAAAACGTAAAATGAAATCTACCAAATACAAAGACGTTATTTAAGCTGCGACTGCTCCAGTCTGTCAACATCCTCTCTTTGCTCACCAGTTTCAGATCGACCGTCTGAACCCGTCGTGGACGTCGTCGCTGTCGTTAGGCGTGATAGGTCACTCCCCCGACCGGCTCAACTTCCCCTCCACAGCGTGTTGTCTCAAACGCTCTGCCTGGCTGCTGCAGAGAGACTCCGTCTTCCACAACTCCCTAAAGGTACACGCACACCTAAACACACAAAATCTGTCTGCCGTGTTTGTCTATTGATTTTCGTCTCACAAGACAAACTGAGTGTGTTCACGCTCACATCGGCCTCGTTGCCTGATTGATTGATCGTCTCTCATTTTTGTCTCCCTCGCTTCCTGCTCCCCTTCTTTCACCATCGTCTCTCCTCTCTCTTCCCTCCAACGACACTGCTTTCTCCTCAGATATGTGAGAACTATGGTCCTAACCTGGACACTTGTCCGGAGGGGACGGTGTTGGGTCTGCTGGTGGACGCCAACAGTTGTCTCCACCTCTACGTCAACGGCATGGACCAGGGTGTGGCGGCGCAGGACATTCCTTCGCCCTGCTACTTGTTCATTGACCTCTACGGCCAGTGTGAACAGGTCAGTGCTACAGACACATACGTACTCCACCTCAGTCAGCTGGCCTCGTACTGTATGAGGGCCATGAGTCAATTAAGTGTTTACCTTGAACAAAATCCTGTTTATTGTGTTATATAAATCTTAATTACAAAACTCCTTTTATTAACTTTATCTAAAATGTCCCTATTCACTGTCGCCTCAACGTCAGGGTCTTGATAAGCTGTTTTAGATTTGGTTTTTATTGCTGTTGTTGTTGCTTTATTTATTTATTTTGAATACATTTTATTGAACAGGTAACAACCAGTTAAATCATTGTGTGTATACACAGCTTGAGTCCATAGTCACAAGTTATGCTAGAGGTAGACTAAATTAAAAAAGTAATAGATAGATAAATATTGTGTAAATCTTACAATAGTTACACATTTTAAAAGCTTTTTTTGTTTGTACATTCAGATAAAGAGGGAATGTATTTAAGTTTTTCCTTAACAATTTATATTTGTGAATATATAATTTGGTCAAAATAATAAGAAAATTAATCAATTCTGCTTTTTAATATTTACTTGAATAAGAACAAGTCTTAATTGTCATTAGACTCACCAACAGTGATCAACAGGAGAGATTTTGTTTTATAAATCGATTAATTGTTACGTCTGTGAAACGTCAAAAACAGGAAAACATCTTTCTTCTTATATCTGACCAACAGTCCAGAACTCAAAAATACCCAATAAAATAAAGCAGAATAATGTTGCCATTACAATTACCATCACTTCACACACATCCACTGTCAATTAAAAATTATTTCAGCACTGCATCACTATGAACCAAATCCTAAGATATGCTAATGAATGTTGTCTCATCATGGCAGGTTACTATAGTAACAAACAATGTGCCAGCTGTGGGCGGAGAGAGTGGTGAGACCCGTTGTCAGGGCGACATGGAGAAGGCAGACATGGTTGACGGTAAGAACCTCGATGGTTACTGTTCATCTCTTCTTTTAGCTTCTGTTCAGTGTTTGAAGTTTTACCTGTTCACCTGTCGCCGTGTTTTTACAGGAATCAAAGAGAGTGTGTGCTGGACGCCCCCTCCAGAGGTCAACCCCAACAAGACCTGCGAGTACCAGGCGCTGTGCTCACGCTTCAAGGACCTGCTTACGTTACCAGGTGAGTTTTATTCCAGCCTCCCCACCACGATCTCTCTCTCTCTCTAATCTAAAATCACCTTACAACTGTGATCTCTGTCTTCTCCACCGCCGTCTGTAAGATGGCTATTTCAACGAAGACGCAAAGTACAACCTGTGCTACTGTGAGTCCTGCCACAAGCTTCGGGGTGACGAGGCTTATTACAAGAGAGGAGAGCCGCCCCGGGACTACGCCCTGCCCTTCGGATGGTGCCGCTTCGCCCTCAGGTGAGAGGACAAACTCTCAGATACACTTTAGAGCAGTACGTTGCTCTAACTGAGGTCACTGTGAACGTTTATTAAAATGACTGAATACACCTTTAATTTTAATTATAGATGACGCTAGGAGAGAATAACATAAGTTGTGTAGTAACTCTTAGTTGTAAAAGTCTTTTCATGTTTTACTTCCCAAAATGCAAAGCTGATTTATTTATGCTTACAATAATATTAAACTAAAGAAAGAAGAATGTGTGTCTATAAATGCACGTATCCTCTATGTGCAGGATCAAACCCCACTGTGAGGTTTCTAACGCACTGAAGAAGTGGCACATCGCGTACCACGGCACCAGTGTAGGAGCCCTGCGACGCACGCTGGACCACAGCCAGCTGCTGCCAGGTAGGAGAATCACTCATTCATCTTAGTTATGACCACAGCCGTCTTGAGAAACCTCAAAGTTTTGATCCACTGAAATTCTCACCAGAAGCAGAAGAGAGAGCTTCTAAAACAAAATACCTGAACTGTGAATGTAATTTCGTTGTCGCAGGGACGTCGTCCATCTTCTCGGTGTCCCCGGTGAAGGCAGAGGGTCCTAATGGCTACAGTGAGCCAGATGAGAACAGCGCCCCCGGGAGGGAGGTTCCCAGAGTGAGGCTCTCTCCCACTATGCGCTACTCCGGCATGGAGATCTTTGCCCCCAAAGTGCAGTAAGTCCACCTGGTTCACAAAATCACTACACCTGTTTTTATTTTAGCCTTTATATCGGAGAGCTGACAGTAAAAGGCATTTTACTGACTCTGCTTCTCCCCTTGCAGATTTCAGGACCCCCGTTCTCACCGCTGCCACCAGGCTCAGGTGGGCTTCCAGGTGTGCGTGCGTCCTGGCTCCTACAAGGTGGGACCTCAGACGCTCAACCACAGCGAGCCCCTGGACCCTCGCTTCAGCAACTCAGAGATCGAGTGGATCACCAAGGAGCAGGGCGGCACGCTCCTCTACGGACTGCTCATCCGGGTCGAGTGAAAAAAGGGAGCGACGAGGGAGGCAATCGGGTGGAAGTGGGGGGAGGGTCCACGTGGGCCACTCCTCGTACTTTTAAAAAACTGACAACCAAATCCAACCCCTGCCTTGAGCGAGAGACTCCTCTGGAATCCAGCTGTTCCTACTGTGGATTGTTGACAATTCAGCATTATAGATTTGTTTTGTTTATTTTGTTGTTTTTTGTTCTTTTTTTGGTTGTTTGCTCTTGGACTCTTTTAATGGCCGGGGGCTACGGCGGTTTCAAAGAAGAACAGACACTGCCTGCACTTTATGTTTCGGACACTCGTGGGCGATTTTTAAAACTAACTTCTCATCGTCACGACACCTTAGTTCATTTGCTACAGTTGTTGTTTTTTTGTTTGTTTTTTGCCACGTTTTTTGTTCTCATTCTTCCCGACATACTTGCACCCTCACAAACAGCTTATATTTTCTTTATTTTGCACTTATTTTAACACTTAATCATCTCCGCTCTGGTCAGTGTTTTATTTTGGGAGGAGCTTGTCCCCTGCCAACCTGCACGTTAACCGACTGTCACCTAAAAAAAAAAGACGAGAGAGACGTGGGTCAAAAAAAGAAAAAAAAAACAACAACAAAAAAAAAGTGACGTTTTCAAAAAATGTTTAAAAAAAAACAGAAAGACACTTGAATCTGAGAATGAACCCAAGAGTGTCTTGTGATTGTGACTTCTTTAGGGAGAAGATTTTAAAACTGGAGGAAGAAAAAAATGTTTACACATGTACCACTGTATGTTGCTGTCCTCTTCGTGTCTCCACGTTAGCAGTCTGGCTACTTTATCAGTCCTGTTTGCATTTCTGTTCTTGGCCCTGGCGTCACGTCTGAAAACATTCACAGGCTTTGCACTGTGGAGGGAAACTGGAAGGTTTTACAGAAAAATGGACCTCTGGAAAACAACAAAAAAAAACAACCTCCTGCACCTGTTGGGAAGCTAAACATTGTGTATTGGGTAATGGACGGTAACTTCTGCTCCAGCCTTACAGCTTGTATGTTACAACTGAGAGGATCCATCATGAGATATTTAAATATATATATTTACTTGTAGACTTGATAGGTTTTCATACAGGAACAGGGGGGAAAAAAGGAGAAGCTTTACATTTTGGGAAATTTGCTTTTTTTTAACCCGGACCTAAAGTTAACGCCGATCTCCTGAAGCTACTGCCAGCAGCTCGCTTACGTAGCTTAGCATGAAGACTGGAAACATGGAGAAAGCAGCAGATCACCTATCACCCTATCAGCACCTCTACAGCTCACTTATTATGAAACATGTTGTATCTCGTTTGTTTAATGCGTACAAAATCTAAATTGTAGTAAAGTTCGCCCTTTTATGAGGAGGGGGGGTATTTCTTGGCTAGGACCAGTTGCTAGGCAGCCAGTGGAGAGACACTGATGGTTGTCTGGCAACCAAGAAGTAGTTCCGGCCAAGAAAACGTTGGTAGTGGATTCGTTCGTAGTTTTTACAGTTTTTATTGTACAGATTAAACTAAGGAGATATAAGCTTCAGAGGTGTTACACTGTGAAAACCTGATGAGTTAATTTAACTCAATTGTTGAAACTGATTAATATTGAATATTTTAATTAACACTAACTCAGTTTTGTGAGTTATAAACATTCTTGATTAAGCAGCTTTTATTAGAGATTTTAGTTGACTGACTTTTTAATCTTTACTTGTACTGTGAAAACAAAACCCGTTGTAAAAAGTACTTTATCAAAAATGTTTCACTTACAAAACTAAGTTAGTCTCACTTAACATTTCCAGTAAAAAGCTGCTTAATGAAGAATGTTTTTAACTTACAAAATCAAGTTAGTGTTACTTAAAATAACTTAGTTTCCTGGCTGTGTTATGTTAGCATACAGCTATGGATCAGTGGGATCAGTCTCATCCAGCAAACTCAGCAAGAAAGCGAATTTCCCAAACTTGACTTTTATTTTTGTGGTTAAATGGACTGAAGCCAAAATGTTTAAGTGGTTTTCCAGATCACTCCCGCTGTCTTGCACCCCTCCCCTCCCTCCATCGTTTACTCTGATCTATCCACCCATCATGTCTGACCATGTTTACCTGGCAGGACCTCCAGAGCCAACACCGAGGAGATTCGAGGTCAGCAGGAGGACGAGTCGCCTGCATCCCCCCCACCCGACCTACGCTGGTGTTTACATGCGAATGTTATTAATTAGGGCTCTTTTATTTCAAATAACATCGATTTACATTTGTCAAATGTTTATACAAGGGTTTTATTTAATCCAAAACATCTGCCTAATGGTTGATTGTATGTGAACAGCTTTCCAAAGCGTATCTTTTGTTTTCTTTTTCACCGTTCTCGATCCTGTTGCCAATTTGATGAACCTGCTACAGAACATGAAACCCCAACATTTTCCAAGGCACAGTTTTAATGAGTCAAACTCAAAAAGTATAATTAAAAGAAGCTCAGTCACCTTCTAAGAGCAGCTGTGATCTGACTGATGGAAGATCTACGGGGTTTGGCAAAGGAAAAACTTCCAATCAAAAATGTGAAAAATATTATTATTATATGGGTTATTTATGGCCCAGTGCTGCTTTGTACAATTTAATTTGTATTGTTTTTGTTTTTTTGTTTTCTGTATGTTGCGTTGTACAGGCTGTTACATAACAAATCATATCTTCCTGATTTATAAAAAATAAAAATAAACTGACAGACAGTATGCACAGAAGGATGGTTAATGTTTGTTTGTTCGGCCTGTTAAAAACAAAAAGATGTCATGAAGAAAAGACAAAATCTACGGGTGCTTTTGGTTCCTTTTTTTCAAATTTTATTTAGAGTAGGAAAAAAAGTCTGGTCACTGACATGTTATTGCAGTGTTGCATACTTACTCAATCACACCTTTTCCAAAATGCTGTAGACTAATTACTCATTAAGGCCAATAGTGGGTTTTTTCTCATAGCTTTTTACAGAAATAGTGGCTGCTTCGGGGGCAGCTCTGTCCTGCCATTAAAGAACAGACACACATGATGAAATTTAAAAAAACGCAGAGACTCAGCCAAGAGTTCAACAACTAAAAATAGTTTGCTGTCCCACAAACATAAATAATGATGCCATAAAGTACAATAATGTACCGCTGACAGACAGTGATCTGCTGTATGATCCTGTTTGGTTGCATAGTCGGTTATGTTTTACTAATCAGCTTTAAAAGAGTCATTTCTGCACCAGCTGTCACTTTTAATGTTGGACCCTGAGTTTTCTTTTTTCTTTAATTCAAATGTACGCGTAGCGCTGTCAATCTGGTCCCAAGCTCTTCCTGGCCCCGTCAAATAGTTTGACATTTTGAGAAATATTCACTTTCTGTCTTGATATCAATCTCCAGTAGCCCCATCTGTGACCTCTGCACTACATACGGTCACATACCTTAAAGGACCAGTGTTAGGATTTAGTTGCATCTAGCAGTGAAGTTGCAACTAACTGAATACTGCTCGCGTCTGTGTTTGACCTGGGAATGAGAGCGGCTGTGAGGTGTGAAGGAGAAACTGTGTTTGCTGTGAAACTTCTGTAGAAACATGGCGGACTTAATGAAGGGCAACCCGCGGCATCTGAGTATAAAGGCAGCTCAATCTAAGGTAACGAAAACACAAAAATTCTTATTTTCAGGTGATTAAACATTAATGAAAACATACAATGAATATTATATTCCATTTCTGTCGATAGACACTCCTAAATGTTTCACACTGGACCTTTAAAGTAGAAGAAAAGTCTCATCCAACTGTCTCCGTTGGTTGTTGTTCTGTGTACAGATTGAATGAACGACGTATAACTTGTCAATTACTTTGTGTTAGAGGTGTATTCTCAGTCCTTATGCTAAGCTAAACTAATCACCTCCTGGCTCCACTTCAAAGGGAGAACGATCTTCTTTTAACTTTCAGACAGAAAGCAAATGAGTGAATTTCTCAAACTGCCAAACCATTCCGGCACGAGGAAGTTTTGATTGAACTGAAATCTGGGCCAACTGTACGGTTTAGCAACAGGATACGTGTCGCTTTAAGTCTCAAAACTGGGAAAAGGAAAAGGGGGCAACAAAGATTTATGCTACAAAATATCACTAAATACATGTTGAAGCACTTAATAAAACCAAAGTGCAGCTCTTGATGCTAAGTTAGTTTTTTTTTTTTTTTTGGGGGGGGCTTGATTTTAAGCAGCGTTGTGTGGATGTTGACATAAAGAAATAATCAAGTGTTAATGACGAGCTGAGAGGGTAAAAACCTCTAAATGAGCTCTGAGAAGAGAGACAAACGGACAAAGACAATGTAAAAGTTTGGTTCAGCTTCATTCAAATATACATCTTAACTTGCACGCGCGCACACATACATACTTACATACATACATACATACTTACATACTTACATACAGTCTTCCAAATATGCCAAAAACCAACAACAAAAGAAATCCCACACAGTTTAAAAAAATAGCGAAAAAGTTCTTTGTACACTTACACATAATAACTGTTAACATGTGCCCGAACCCTGACATACAGCATTCACTCCCAAACATAAGGTTGTAAGCATCAAGCTACAGTGGGTGCTTTTATAAAAACGCATGATCACAGTAGTTCTAATAAAATGGCTCCTTTTTTTTTCTCTTCTGAATAAATAAAACAAGTTATGACAAAAACAAACCTTCATTACAAACAATCGGCGCAGAGCTTCCAACATCTTTTGATTCAAACATGATTTTTTTTAAAAGAAAAACGTTCAGCAAGTCGACTACAGCAGCTGTTTTTTGCTCCCAGCTCCGACATAAATAAAAAGTGGATCTACAAACACTTGTGGGTTAAAAAACCTCTCCTGAACCCACTACACCACGCACGCCCACACACACACACACACACACACACACACACACACACACATATAGAGCTCATTGCCTCACCTGCTGCACCACATTAGTGACTGGAAAGGTGAGCCAACACGGAACCTCCTTGTAAAAAACACAGGAAAAAAACCTTAAAAGATGTCATTGTTTACAAACTTTTCTTGCACAGTAAAACTCCCCTCTTCTTCTTCTTCTTCTTTTTGAGCTTAAAAATCCAAGACCACTTCCCTGAAAGCGCCTCGCTTCAGGTGTCCGAGGATATCTCCCCCCGTGCTCTCTGTCCCCACTTCTTTGACTCAGCAGACTTCGAAGAGTTTAAACATTTCTGATATACTGCAGTGAGGTGATAGTTGGATTTTGAGGAGAGTTTGTCAGTCAGAGGTGGGGGAAAAAATGAAGAGGGGGACAGTTTTTTTGAAATATTTCAGCGAGACCGGCAGAAGTGGTGCAACCCGAGAGGCAGAGCGGGACAGCAAAACTATGAAGAGAGCACTCGATGTTCTTTTTTCCCTCTCTCAGGGGGGAGAAGGAGGAGGTGGAGGTACTAAGAGGAAAGACAGCAGGAAAAAAAAGAAAGGGATAGGGATCTCCCAGAATTCACTGTGGCTGGTTGTGGGAGGACGGTAGTTTACAGAGAAAGAGAGAGAAAGAGAAAGAAAGAGAGGTCACTAACGAGAAGAGGAGAAGGGAGGAAGGCGAGCAGCAATTTGATTAGAGATTCGTTTTGTCTCATCATCTACTTTACAGAAGTTTTTTTTTTTCTTTTTTTTTTTTATGTTTTCCATCCAGATGAGCGGCTTCAGAACTTCTTGGGGCCCCAGGCGGACGTTTGCTTCGGGGCCACACCTGTCCCGAACGTAGGGAAATCCTCTGCACTGCTCATGTCAGGAGCCTGGAACAAACACACACAGCCTGTTTGACAAACTGCACTAATAACCTGGATGCAAACAAAGACACTTAAAAATATGAAAATACATCTTTCTGAAACATTTAAAACTTCCTCTTTAAACTCATCTTCATCCCCTCTTTCCAGCTGATTCAGATTTAATGAGATTAATAAATAAAGGATCTTGTTATTGATCATAATACATTCATAAAGGACCAACCTTGTTCCCTGCTGCGTTCCAGGGGGCGTCCCGCACCACGAAGCCCTTAGCCGGACCCCCGCTGCTATCATCCCCTCCCCCTGCTCCGCCTCCCCCTCCGTAGCGAGATGGAGGTTTCATGTACGCCGCCAACGTCTCCGTCTCTGTCACACTGAGCATCTGAGAGAGGAGGGAGGGGAGAGAGGTGGAGAAGGAAACAGCCCAGTGAACTCCTATTGCTCTGCACTCCTCAGACTTCATATAACCGTTCTATAATTTGATGTGTATAAGCAGCTTTAGTTACAGAAGAGAACATTTCTTTTATCTTTGTGAACTCACATATTCCTCCTCCAGGTTGAGCAGGTGGTCGATGGCGTTGTCGACAGTCTCGGGAAGGCCTGTCACAGTCACTTTGTCGGGCTCGCCGGAGCCGGGCTGAGGAAACCGGATATCCACCTGAACACAGGAACAAGGCGTTAAAATAAGAGTGGAAAACAACAGGTGAAGGAAATAATAATTCCTCCTCCGTGTCCACAATAAACATCTCACCTTGAACTCCTCCATCAGCTTGCGGATGGCTTTGCCACGGGCTCCGATGATGCGAGCATGGGTCCTCGGGTCCAGGTGAACATCTTGGCTCACCATCTCCTGCAACTCGGCCACCAGCTGCTGGATGGCCTGACGCGCCTCCTCCACGTTACGCTCGTACCCCGAAATCACGATCAGATCCTGGGAGGGGGGAGAAAAAAAACAAAACAGGAACATGTCACATAAATAAGACCGGAGGAACTGGGCAAAATGTGTATTAAGAGCTCAAGATAAAGCCAGTTATAGAAGAGAAAATACAATTAAAAAATAGATATTTTGCAGCAATAAAAAAAAAAAAAACCACACACACAGATACACGCAGACACACACACACACCTGCTGCTCGTCTCCTTTGTCGGGGAACTGGATGCTGACGTCGTGGTCTTTCCTGATCTGAGAGATGACGGCTCCTTTGCGGCCGATGATCTTGGGATGAAACTTTGGATCTACAGACATGGTTACCTTGAAACTGCGCAGGGCCTGAAAAAGAGAGAAACACTTGAACTCAGGTTCATTGTGAACCTTCCCTCCTCCTCCTCCAATGTGACTTATAACAAATAAAACCACAGAATAAACTTTAATTCTTTAACTGCCAACAGCTGTTATAAGATAAATACGTTGCAAAAAACAGAAAATATAAATATTTGTGTACCCTGTCTTCCTGCTCAGCCTGCAGTTCTTTGACCCTCTCGAGCAGACCCTGTTTGGCTCGCTCCATGTTGGCTACCAGACCCGTCACCTTGATCACGTCCAGCTGTTTCTCTGGCTGCGGCACCCAGATGTTCACCTGCACGCACACACACACAAACAATCACATCACTTTTTATCAACATAATCAGTTAAGTGTATCACAATAACTAAGCAAACAGCTCTTCTCATCACTGATGCAGATCTTCTGACCTGCTGTATGAAAGGTCTTTTGGCCAGAAGATGGCAGCAGAGAGTGGAAACTCACCTCGTACTCCTCCATCATCTTCCTGATCCCGCTGCCCTTCTGGCCGATGATGTAGCGATGCAGCTCGTAAGACACTTCGACGTCCTCCGTTATGGGCACCAACGCCTGAGGGAGGAAGCAAGACTGTTATTGAGGAAACGGATGATAAAGAGGAAGGCAGCGAGGATGTGAAATGGGGCCTACCAGCAGGGCGGCTTTAGCCAATTCACACTTCTCGGCACG